TGCAGAACCTTGCAGAAATCCCAATCTCATATGAACATCCCGGCTTTGGGATTTGTCTTTAAAATGTGAAGTCGCTTTCATGTTAAGAGACCATTTTTGTCTTTCTTCCGTACTTCCAGATACTACATCACAAGGGCAAAGCTGGTTTCTAAAATAGCAAAATATCCACATGTGGTAAGTGAATAGCTTTAGTATTAGAAAGTAAAAAGCTATATAAGTTATACTATAGAAGTCTATCAAATGCTAAGAAATTAACTATTTTTTTTAAACAATTTCTTTCATTTAAGAGTTTTTCCTTTATACATATAAACAAAAGGAGAAGAGAAGGATTACAGATGATTTGTACATTTGGGATAATTAACCTATACACTTAGGGCTGTAAAATAACTATTTGCATTTTTTATAAGAAATATTGAAAGAGAAAGCCTTTAAAAATATGTGGTCTTTGGTTTTAGGCTGTAAACGGTGACATCTAGTGGTTTACAACATATATAGCAGCCAGTTGCAGCTGGCCCTCATGCCACCCTCATGGAGTCAGTTTCTGACTGTTAGATCATTAACATCCAAACCAGTGGCCCACTCAAGGTCTTTTTGTAAAGGCTGTGGCAGTGTTCTTCCTCACAGAAAGGAGCAGATGTAAGTGTTGCTGAGTTTAAAGCAGAGTGTGTTTGTATATCTGGAAGAATTTAAAGCATGTGTATGAAACAATTTTTGTATCGGTCACCCTTGAAAAAGATTTTAATCTCAAGGTGCATCGTGGTTAAATAAAAGTTGATTGAAATGTCTTGTTGCAAAATTGAAAGTTCTTATTATCAATTATCCTTTAGTGAAATGACAAACTCTGATATCAGCCTATCTGCTAAAATTTCCACTGACTTCGGCAGTTCTGTTTTATATTTAAAAGAAGATGTACAATTAAAAATAAACATAGAATCAACTTTTTTAAACAGGAGGACTATCGGCGCACAGTAACCGAGATTGACGAGAAGGAATACATCAGTCTGAAAATCATAGTTTCGGAGCTCAGAAATCAATACGTATGTTGTGGCCTTCATTATTTATCAGCATCTATTTATACTTGCCTGTGTTCAGAAAGCAGAATAACCGATATGTTTGCTTGTTTCCAGGTAACGTTACACGACATGATCCTGAAGAACATCGAGAAGATCAAGAGGCCTCGAAGCAGTAATGCTGACGCTTTGTACTGATGTTCATCCAGCTGTCTCTGCATCCACCCACCCCACGCCGTCTGCCCCCTCGTCTCTTCACCATGCCTGTTGAGCAACAGTAGCCGGGCCCCGGTCCGCAGGACTACAGCTAGACATTCACCTTCTCCAATACAATCAAGACAGCCCAATACAAAGACATAGCTTCTATAGATGGACACATGTTTTGTTTTGTTTGTTTTAATTGTAAAATATTGTTTTTAAACCGTTTGAAGAGTATTCACTCAGAAAATGGGGAGACGGATCATAAGCCCTTTTCAGACATGCGCCAGATATCATTGCTATTAAACTGATGGCAGTTTGTCATGCACTCATCAATTTTGTGTTAATGTTCCTCATGTTTGTTCGTAATTTACAGAGAAGTTCTTGTATGCATGCGATATGTGGCAGCTAGTATTATCAGTATAAGCGGTGAAGTGTCACCACACTTGCAGCTCTTTCTGAGTGCAGGGCCTCTGTGTATGTGCAAGGAGCTGTACCCGGTCATTCCCACTCGGGCTCGGAAAGGATAAAACTCCTGGGTTAGTAATCCCAGATGAATGATTTAATTGGTGCTGATGAGATAAAATACTATTAAAATGGTCTTATTGCCGTTCAGGACCTGCGCATGCCTGTCTGCTACCGCATGAATTCAGGATTTTGCAGAGTGAATAAAAGTGTTAAGCAGTCTGGTTCGGTAAAGTTAAGATGGCTGTTTATTTGAAAAGTGCATGTCTGAAAGGGGCTTCTGATATCAAAAAGCGCTTTGTATTTTTTAATTTTAATTAAACATTTTGTCCTCAGATCCTCGTGAACGGCCTCATTTGTAGCTCTTAAATATTCAGAGCAAAGTGGTTTGTCATTATTGCTGCCCATTATTTGTTACTGTTTTAATTATTTTGTCTTATATTGGACTCCTGCTGCATCATCAGTACAGTAGTTCATAGGAAATGCAAAACATGCTGTTAAGTTGTTCTGCAAATGTTAGATATTGCGACGTGTAGATATCACAAAATATGAAAACGATGCAAGTTTTAAGTCGTGGGCTTAAATGATTTCAGTGAAAATTCACGAGTCAAAAGCTTCTTTTATGTTGGAGCATTCATTGTATTGAATAAAAGACTGTTTTTTGATAAGACTTTTGGAGGCATGTTGTAGGGTTTTGTTTTGTTTTTTATTTTTCTTTTGAAGTTTGAAGCAAAACATCAGATAGTGGTGTGACATGGATACAATGTTTCCTCTTGACCTGCAGATGTCGCTGTGGCTTGTAAGTGCTTGCTAGTTTAAGCCAAGGTGTAAAGGTCCCGACTTTTGTGTGTTTAAATATCAAATCCTTTGTCCCATGTGCATTTATTTCACACAGAAGTCAGCATCCCAAATATATATAAACGCAAATCCACAGTTTAAAAATTAAAGATCAAGTGGTGCTTAATGGGATCACACTGAATGGGTGTCAGATAGGAAGGTTTTGAGGCAGCTTTACTCACATGTTAAGCAACTCAAAACTTGAGATTCCTAAAATTTAACTAACCAGCAGATTATGATATAGATTAATTGGCTACTTTATTAGGCGCACTTTTTCAACTTCTCATTAAGAGAAATATCTAATCAGACAACTGCATTGCAGCAACTCGACACTTTCAAGTATGCAGACATGGTCAAGAGAGCCAATTGAAGTTCAACCTGATTATCAGAATTGGGGGCGGGATCATTTAAGCAGCTTTGAATGTGAATGTTGATGCTACACAGGCTGGTCTGAGTATTTCAGAAAGTGCTGACTGCTAGGCGGTTCCTACACAACCACCTCATGTTTACAGATGATGACTGAAAAATAGAAAATATCCAGTGACCGGCAGTTCTGTTGGAGAAAATGCCAAAGGTCAGAAGAGAATTGAAAAGAAACTGAAATAACTCCTTGTAATAACCAGGTAGAAGAACATATTGAACCTTGAAGCTGCAGCAACAGCAGGAGATCACATTGGTCAACACTCCTGTCAGCCAAGATTGGGAAAGTGAGACTACAGTTCACAGACTGGAAAAACATTGCTGCATTTCTGCTGCACATAGTAAGGTCAGAATTTGGTGCAAACATCATAAAAGCACGGATCCAGCCTACCTTATGGTTCAGGTTGACGGTGGTGATGTAATCAATACCTGAGCATTGTTTCTGACCATGTCCATCTTTTTATAACCACAGTGACCCATCCTCTGATTGTTGCTTCTAGCAGGAGAACGCCCCGTGACACAAAGCATATGTTTCGTTTTTTAAATTATTTATTATGGCATTTTTTTTAGCCTTTATTGATAGAGAGACTCTGAAGTTAGACGGGGAAGCAGGCAGAGATAGAGGGGAAGAGATGTAGTTACAGTTTTGTGTTTGTCATTAGCTTTTTTTAACATTTGGTATTGTTGTGGTATTGTTTTTACTTCTGTTTAGTTTTGATTAATTAGTTCAGTTTGTATTAATTTGGTGCTAGTTTTAGGTTTAAGGCATAATATGGGAATTGTATATGTCAGAGGTAAGTCTTACACACTTGCACTCTTTGCAGTTAGACTAACACCCAAAGTTTAATGCTTTTCTTAACTTTGAAAAGCTGACAAGGGGCATGAAGGACTTCACTGATCAGACTAGACTGTGCATATTTGTGAAGCGTGTTTTTTGAAGCACCTTTTATGCCGACACTTCTTTTTATTTATTTATTTGGTCCAGAGCTGCATCTTTAAGTAAATATAGAAAAGGTTATGTGAGGATGAGAAGATATTGAGGAGAACAACCAAGGCGAGCTGACTATTGTGACTGTAAACTAATGTAAACAGTTACTCAACGTCCCTGACGTAGTTGTGAGGTCTATACCCTCTGTCCCCCTGCCTCCTAGTCACACAAACGCAATGCAGCGTACCTGTACAAAGAACTCCCATATAGCTTCTTGAGATAAGAACCGGAAATAACTAGAACAGCGTAAGAAGACAATGAGATAAAATGATCAAAAAAGGAGCACTTGGCATTTGCTGGTGGGATGTGTCGTGATAATCACTGGGTCCTGTTAAGATTAAGTATGATTTATTTTGTAAAACAGTGCAATGCTGATCAAACCTTTGAGGCATGATAACGTGGGGCTGTTCTCAAAAACAATGCCATATAATGACAGTCTCTATCTGCTTTATTAAGCTATGTTACAGTTTGGTTGTTCCAAGCTCTTCCAAGAATGCTTCTTTGGTAGATTAAGTCTCTTTATGTAATCCCAGACTGGCTCCATGATGTTTAGATCTACGAGATCTAAGTTATCTGATGCAGGACTTCATGTCCAGCAAAGTTACCACAGCGACTACCTTCAGTTTCCTACTTTTTCTCATTACCACAGCAACTTTAGGTGACCTATGATTGCATTCAGTTGGACTTTACGTTGCAGTTTCACAATGTAATTAGCGGTTTTATAGAGGTGTGTCTGTGATAATATGATAGTGACCTTTGTTTGCAATCCTGCTGATCTCAGTACCATACATCCAAAGCTGCTTCGATGGTTCGTCACCTGAGCAAGGTTCTATTTTTAAAGCCTTATGAGGCCCACGTGTTGTCGGCAACGCTTTCTGCCCCTTGACCCTTCATGTACCTTTGAAAGCGCATGGCTGTGGTGCGAGGCAGTGTCACTATGTGGGACTGCCGAGTGAGTGGAGCATGCTCTGGTTAATATTTAATGGTTGTTCTGGCCAGAGAATTAATCAGTATCAGTCTGAGACATACTGAGAAAACTGCCAGGGCTGCACCGCACTTCTCAAATAAGCACGAAAACATGATTACAAGAAACAGTTTTTATTTGTTTAAAAAATACTTTTTTTGCTGAGGTGGTGGCTGCGTGTATGTGTAAAAATCTTTATCTCATATATACTGTGGGTGTTAAAGAAGCTTACAATATTACAGACACTGAAAAGACAGTTATTCTAAACATGAAAACATGACTAAATGTAATTTGATGGACAAAAATAAACCATTGTTCAATTTCAAGGAGGTTAATTGTAATAATTGTAGCAGAAGTCCCAATAAGACCATTTAGAAAACAATTATTAGAAAACATTTGTAGAAAATGTTCATATTTTACTTAAACCCAGCTAAATTAGAAGGCTGCTAGCACTTTGTAGGTCCAGGAAAGATTGAGCTTAGCTTAGCATATCCAAAAAAACAAGACCACTTTTTGTGTTTTACTTTTACCCTTTATTGCTCATACCGTGAAGGGGACGCTTCTTATTTCTTCAAATTGAACAAATGTGGTCTATCAGTGAGCTTTACAGCAATTATCTGAAAGTGCTAGTTGGGTGTCTACGTCCTTTTTCTGTCCCTAAGTAGTCTAGATTCTGGGAATGGTAACATCCAATTAAATGTTATTGTTCCAATCAGTAAAGTAGCCTTTTCCCTCTGCTCCTAAATGGTAACAAGGCCAGCACAATATCTTCAGGCATTCCAAAAACTCTATAGCAAGTTTCCTAGATATGGAGTTAACCTAGACCCAGATTAAAACAGAAAAAAAAAGTGAACAGTACAGATGAGGCTTAATCCATGTCTATTAAAAATGAGAAGTAAGAATCCTTGTAAATATAGAACATTAATCCTCCAGTTGCCTTAAAGCTACAAGTTTTTGCCTTCTGTCTTTACAGGGTAAATCTTGCTGAGAGCCCAAGGCACCAAAGTAGTTGGGATTAAAAGTGCAACGGCACTTTTACCAAAGGAAAGGGCATAGAAAGTCATATGGTTTTCAGGGGAAAATGTCCATCCATCTAACAGGTGAAGCAGGGATACAGAGATGACAATACATCCAATCCTCAAAGGGGCGCTCATAATCCTCATCTTGGTTGTCTTGTAGAACGGTGAGTGCAGACCGAGGCCCAGACCAAACAGGCTGCCCATGTTCCGCAGGAGGCTAGCAAAGGGGGCAGAGTCTAGGTGAACCCACTCTGGCCTGATGCACCACTTCTGGGCTTTCTCCATGGTCCACAGCAGGTCCACATCCAGAGCTTTAAGGAGCACATAAAAGCCAACAGCAAAGGAGGTGAGGAAGAGGGTAATTAAGAAGTACTTCTTCAGGCTTGCGCTGTAGATCCATTTCTCCTTGGAAACAACTTCAGCTACCAGTGTGCCTAAGACGAAAACAGACAAGGTGGTTTATTAAACAGGGACAATGCGTAACATGTACACTCAATAAAACAATATTTGAAGTTAAAATGGTCTAAATATATCATATTTTTGTAATTTTGAGATTGCATTTACACCTGAGCCATATTTTAATTCTTCTTCTACAATATTTCTTTGTTTGATCTTTGGCATTTGCTCCTAAAAATATGATATTGGTAGTTGTAGGCTACATAATCACTCAGTAAACTTAATTTCCAACCCTCGCAAAATGTTTTTATGAAAATTCTGCACATCAAAGTCTTTGTAAAAGTCAACACTTTATCGACTAGAGTTCTTTAGATGGACTGACCTGTAATGATTCCTGCAATAACCTGGTGTGGGAAGTGAGCAGCCATGTAGACCCTGGAAATGCATACCACCAGCTCGACCAGGCCCATTAGCATCCACAGGCCTATATACAAAAATCTGACAGGGACAACACTGATTGTAGGTGCACAGAACCTAAAGACTCCAGAGAGCCAGAAAAGGTGATTGTATTAACACAGACTCACCTGTATAGCAATGGGGGGCACTGTTTTTCTCTTGCAATAGAGAGCAGTGCTGTTACCATGACATACCAGACACCAGCTGCGCCCATGGCATGACCTGAAGGACTTCCTGCAAAGAAAGAAATTGGGCTTAGTATTTTCTAATTTAGAGTGAAAACCGATCAGTCGGTTCTTCATCTATCGTGACGACCAATCCTCGTCAGACTGGTGACCAGAGTAAGCGCAACACCAAGTCTGAGGTGGTTTGAATATGTCATATTTTGCTGAAAGTTGTTGGTATCTTTTATCTTTTTCTTTCAGTTTCCAGAACGTTTAATATGTTCTGGAAACTGAAGACTGAAGAAAAACACTTGCACCTTGTTACCTTCCCTTCTACTATTAGTATAAGGACAGAGATCTCTCAAAGAAACTGGAGCAAGATAAAAGGCACTACAAGTTTATTACCTATTTATCACCATTAAAGTCATGCCCATTCACAGAAAGTCGTGTACAGTTGCCAATTGTTACAGCTATCACCTGGCAATGATATACTGGAGTATTTATCAGACTAATTGTGTACTGTGCCAAATAAATCTTATCATTCTATTATGACAGACTAGTTCTGTTCAGTTTTCATGCGGTCCGCATGCCTGTCATGAGCTCTACCTGGTCCAGTTTCACATGTGATGGGGAACTGCTGGAGTGAAGGGGCCGGTCCTGCTCCATAAAACTTGGTCTCGTGAACCCACCAATAAGGTCTTTCCCCAAATAGAACCCTGCCACAGTGAAACAAAAAAACAGGAAGCAAATCATGCAACCGTTCCTTTTTTTAATGTTTAAGTTTTAAGTTTAATTCAAGTTGGACCCTTTCACCCAGTTACCATTTTAGGACCAAGTTGAGCCAGTCTCCGATGACAGCCACCCAGATGAGCCTGAGTGCCGTGTCCCTCCGCAGGTGGAACCAGATCGGGAACAACCAGAAGAACGTGGTGTGCAGATCGGCCACTGTGGATGCCAGGTCGAACAAACCTTCATATTTGCCATATCTGGTCTGCAGATAGACAGCCAGCTCAACACCCCAGCTGTGTAGAAGATCCATTATATCACAACCCAGACCTCTTTCTGAGGACGATGCTGTGAAATATTGTCTCTTTATTGGGTTTTTTCTTGGTTAGGTTTCAGCAAAGCTCTTTGAGGCCGTCCTGTCCGTTCTTCCACTGAATGATTCCCACTGGACTTTACTCAAGGCTAGCAAGTTTGTTTAACTTTGCAACGGTGCAGACAGGTCACTTAACCTTTACACCTCAGGGGGCCCCCTTGCTCAAAGCTATCGTAACAGAAAGCAACAGCTGCCCATGGACAGATTGCAGACTTCTAGCAAAGACCCGTTATCTCTACTTGTGCCTGAACCCCAATGTGAGAAACAACAAAATGGTTTTGAACTTTTCGTAAACATATCTCTGGAAACAGAACAAAATATGAGCTCATCTGTGCAGATGTCCCCACCAGACCTTTCTTTCATAAGAGTGCAGTACCTTATGTTCTACCTGCTATCTATTTTTTTCTTTTTCTGTTTTGTCACCAACTATCTCATCAGCTTTGTTTCATCCCAAACTCACTCATTTAATCATTGATCTTCTTATGTAATATAGAAATAGCTTACTCCATCATTCTGAACGGCGGCATGTTTTCACTAAAAAAATCAATGACATTACTGATAAATTATTAGTGAGAATGTGCAGAATGTGAGAATGTAAGAAGGGAAAATATGAAAAACACGGCTATCCTTTATTAATGCCAAAGTCAAAGCCATGTGGACAAAAATGAAGAAGACGAAGATCACATTTAAAAATAGTCTGTGGGGCAGCAGAAAAAAAATCTCTCTGCAAAGTGTTTAATTTGGGTCACACTTGAGGAGGACAGCCACTGATCGATTGACTTCCTCTCTCCTGTGACTCTCTCTGTACAGTGATTCTAAGATACTGATTGACGTTTTGTTTTCCTGTTATCTTCCCAACTTGTTTGTGTGACATGCCTCCCAAACTCTAGTGACTGCCAGTGTTTTATTACACATGCGTAAGGTCCAAAGATCAGCGTGTGCATGCGTTTGGGTAGTGGGTCCGTCCACTATAAAAACAGCCAGCTGTCTCGCTGATAACAGCACTCTCTGTTCTTCCACTCACACATCACTAGACTAAGATTTCTTCCTCTTAACGCTAAGATGCTTAATGCCATGATGGACGCTGTGCAGGGTTTCGGGGTGAGCAGCACCCACTACCTGCAGACCAACTACAAAGATGCCCAGGGCTTGTTTCTCTGGGTCTCCTGGGCGGCTGATCTGAGGAACACCTTCTTCATCTTCTTCCCCCTTTGGTTTCACCTGCGGGCTTCAGTGGGCATCAAGCTGATCTGGGTGGCTGTGATCGGAGACTGGCTTAATTTAGTGTTCAAATGGTGAGCGTATTTTTTTAACTGATATATAATCGTGTGAAATAAGCTTTCTTTAGACCGTAACTCAATGCATGTTTCTGCTGTCCTCTTCAGGATTCTGTTTGGAGAGAGGCCGTACTGGTGGGTCCACGAGACAGCCTACTATGCAAACTCCGTGCCCCCTCACATTGAGCAGTACCCAATGACCTGTGAGACTGGACCAGGTGAGAGACACCACTGTTCATGCACGGCTGCATTAACTTGCGTGAGGGTAAAAATAAACCGACTCCCATTAGCCCACAGCTCCTCTCACTCTGCATGTGTTCCTGCCTGAAGTTTACTTTGAAGTAAATTGGCCGAATCAAATAAATTATCATTCTAAAGATCTAGATCTTGGCACTCATCCTCAAGATAAAGCCCTAATGCTGTCAGGTGATATTGTGCTTAATTCGTACATATCACAGAAAGAACGTTTCTTTTGTAACCTCTGGTTTCTGTCTGCCTTTCTGTGTGGAGTTTACATGTTTCCCCTGTGACACAGTCCATAAACATGCATGTTATGTTATTTGCAGTTAGGTTATTTGGACAGCAGCCAAATATATGAGCTTATTGAGTTGTTTAAAATCAAGTTAAAATAAAATAGTGGCGATCTTTTTCATTCATTTATTACTTAGGTTAAAAGAAAAAACAAAACAAAAGAATCTAATGAATGAGCAGTGCAGGTTGCTCTGGCCCACGTGTTAATAACTGCCTTCCTCCGTCTGTCTGTGTTACCTAGGCAGCCCCTCTGGCCATGCTATGGGAGCTGCAGGAGTCTACTACACCCTGGTGACCTCGATCCTCGCCATCATGACCAGCAACAAATCCACAAACAGTCAGTGGTGAGTCTATAACTTTATTTTTCCTTTCTTGGCCCTGCCGATTTTGGTGTTGTTTACCATTTTTCTCCATTCAGAGCTTATCGCTCTGGACACGCTATCTGTTCGGTGCTGGGGTTGATCATTGACTTCTGAGAAGTATTGACTGAAAACAGGGTGTTAAACACGGGTTGTTTTGACATGCGGGCAGCTGAAGTTCTCATGAGAAGAGAAGAATAAATTTGTTTATTGTTACAGTGCTTCAAAAGATTTTCTTTCATGTAATCTTGAGCTGCTGGAAATCAATGAATCTAAGCTGTGTGAATTTGTACTTCAACAGGTATCTGAAGGCTCTTCTGTGGACGCTTTTTTGTGGGGTCCAGGTGTGTGTCTGCCTCTCTAGAGTCTTTATTGCTGCCCACTTCCCCCACCAGGTCATCGCCGGTCTTATCACAGGTGAGTATTTTTACAGTTTCAGTGAACAGCTGGCTATGCCTCAGTCATTCAGTAAAATATCTAGTCAGAAATATAGTCAGTTATTAAGCCTGCAGCGGTATAATAAGTAACGCAAAATATCCGCCTCTGCTTTCCTAATGTGGATCATTGTTTTCTAGGTATGATTGTGGCTGAGGCCTTTAACAGAACTCAGTGGATCTACAGCGCCACCATGAAGAAGTATTTCTACACGACTCTGTTCCTCACCTCCTTCGCTGTTGGCTTCTATGTGCTGCTCAAAGCTCTGGGTGTGGACCTGCTGTGGACCATGGAGAAAGCCCAGAAGTGGTGCATCAGACCAGAGTGGGTCCACCTGGACACCACGCCCTTTGCCAGCCTCCTACGCAACATGGGCACGCTGTTTGGCCTGGGTCTGGGCCTGCACTCTCCCCTCTACACCGAAACCAAAAAGAGCAGCAGCCTGTTGGTCAAAGCAGGATGCATCATCAGCTCTCTGCTCCTGCTGCACCTGTTTGACTCCTTCAAGCCTCCTACACATACCGCGGCCCTCTTCTACCTGCTGTCCTTCTGCAAGAGTGCCATTGTGCCACTGGTCACTGTCAGTATCATCCCATACTGTGTGAACCGATCTCTGAGCCAGCACAACAAAAAGGCAGTGTGATCACCAACTTCATATCACAAAGACTAATGAAAAGGAAATCTCTTCCTATTGAAACACATTCCTTTGGTGCTTGTTTTATCCACACTGCCACGTAATCCTCAGGAAAAGCTTTGAGATCAACAGGAAAATGCATTTTGTGTTATTTGGACACTGAACCTTGAACATTGTGTGACACTAAGTGAAAGCGCTATCCAGGCTGCCCAGTGACACTCACAAAGAACTATTTTGAATATGCGACAACACGATAATGACGCTTGTCCTGGACGGTCATTCACGACTTCAGTATAGTATTTTAACTGTATTAGTAATGTATTTTTTCAATGTCATAGAAAGTATTTTTGGGACTGTTGAAATATTTTTAAATAAAAATTTTGTAAATGTTAAAAAAAACGATTTGGTTCATTTTTAAAAATGTGCAATTACTGGAATGTTCCTTTAATACTTGACTAATGACCATTTTCTTCCACTTAGACTAAGACTTAGATTTATTCTGTTTTTCTCACCAGCGCTGGAATATCTGTTAGCGTATTTTTTTAATATGTGCACCACAATTTAAAAAAGTCACCGATTCCAAATTTTACTCAGATACTCAGCTTTCTTAAAAAAAAAATCACACAATAAGTATAATATTCAGAATAATCTCAATTAAAAGAAAATAAGCAGAAAACAAACACTTTTAACTCATTATTTACAATTTATTATCATTGCACAGTCATGCACTGTACAACAGTACAATGAAATTGGAGTACTGTCCCACATCAGTGCTAAAAGAAAAGAAAGCAGTAACCACCAATAAATAACACATATGCAGAATAAAATATACTATATGTGCAGAAATTAAAGGTACAGTAGGTGCAGAGATAAAAAAAAATACATACACAAATATTAAAAGGGGCTCATCAGTTTAATCCAGGGGTGTCAAACATAAGGCACCAAGGCCATAATTGGCCTGGTGAAGACTCAAATCCAGCCAAGTGGACAGTTTTTAGATCATATGAAGCAATGTATAGATTTTAAACGTAATACTAAAAAGTATGTTCAGTATTTTCAGTGTTTTCACGTTTTACAGCTTTTCCTATTGATAAAGACGTCCTACCCTCATTGTCATTCATCCTACACCAAAATAATAAACAATTAAATGATAGGAAAGTTACTGTTAGTCACAGTAAACTAACAAAAAACGTTATATTTTATAATTACAGGGCAGTGCAATGAACTATCCATACGTCTTTCTGTCATCATACACATTTATCAAGAGAAGAGAAGAGAATAAAGTTTAGACAATAAAACAACAAAACGATAAAAGTTGAAATGACATAAAAGTAAATTGAATGAATTACTAATTACATACAACTTTAAAATGCTTACTTACTTTTTTGTTAGAAAAAAACAACAGAAAATTGTTATATTCACACACACACACACACACACACACACACACACACACACACACACACACACACACACACACACACACACACACACACACACACACATAAACATAAACATTTTTTAAATGGGTTACATTTTATTCATTCTTATTTTTACATTAACTACAATTCTAATACTCCAATATATAATGTTGTTTAAAATGCAATATTTTTCTCTGAATCATAGCATCTACTTTAAGTAAATTCTTAAAGTAGATGAAAATGAAAGTACTAAGTACTTAAATGTACTTACATGTACTTATTCTATCCTGCCTCCATTTGGATATGCAAATCAAACAATATAGTTTGATAAATTAGCCTGCTTAGGCTGCTGCCCCCGCGACCCGGTCCCGGACAAAGCGGATGAAAATGGATGGATGGATGGAAATTAGCCTATAGTGGAGAAAAATGCATGCACTGGCATACAATTGGACAGTTTTTTAATATGTTTTTACATCGACACATATTAGATCCATAGGAATTTAATACAGTTAAGAAGAAGCTGAACACCTGACATGATCCTTCATCATCTTTGTTGTTGTTTTTTCCCCTCTTTTGCCAGAGACACAAATAAAAGCTCACTGT